TAAATGAAATTATTAAAAAATGTGTTGCCCAATTAATTATATTCCACTAGAAATCATTTTAGTGAAATGGATAAATATTTACAAATATATGAAGTGCCTAAATGATCAGAACAATAATTTAAATAACCTAAATCTTAGAAATAAATTGAACAACCCATAAATTAATCCACACACACAGACAAAAAAGGACCAGATGGCCTTACAAGTAAATTCTAATTAACATCCAAGGAAAAATTAATTATATCAGTACAAAAATTATTTGCAACAACAGTGAAAGACCCATCAAACTCCCTTCTAGACAAATATCCTGATACCAAAAACCAAGGTGAGACTTTAAGAGACAAAGCTACAGACCAATATCTCTAACCAGAAATACTGAATAAAACATTAACAAAAGGCTCTGCAACATATTAAAAAGTATACAATATAACCTGGCTGGCTTTACCCCAGGAATGTGTACAGATTTTAGGAAAAATATAAACATAAAAACCATTATTAATAACAAGTAATAAAAAATTACATGATTGTAACAATAGATGCATAAAATTTTTTGACACAATATCTGATTATGTTAAAAACAACAGCTCAGGAATAAATGGACTTTTCCTTAATACGGTAAAAGTATCTCCTCTTTTGTGTTAGAAATTGAGGGGATGCCCATCAACTGGGGAATGGCTGAACAAGTTGTTCTATATGATTGTGATGGAATACTATCTTGCTATAAGAAATGATGAGTAGTAGTATGCTTTCAGAAAAACCTGAGAAGATGTTATATGAACTGATGCAAGGTGAAGTGAGAACCAGGAGGATATTGTACAGAGCAACAGCAATATTGTAAAGATGTTCAACTGTGAAACTACACTGATCAAAACAATGATCTAAGACAATTCCAAAGGATCTAAGATGAAAAATGCTATCCATCTCCACAGAGAAAACTGATAAACTTTGAATGCAGACTGAAGCACATTTATTTTACTTTCTTTATATTTCCTGGGTTTGTGTGTGTTTTCTTTCACTTTCTCAAAGGGTAGGGGGAGAGGGGCAGGAGGGAGGAATAGAATTTGGAACTCAAAATTTTTAAAATGACTGCTAAAAATGTTTACATGTAATTAGAAAATGTTAATAAAATAAATAAAAACACACTAAAGAGGAAATTTTTTAAAAGAATGCAATTATTGAACTATAAAGAATATCAAAAGGGACAGATTCAAGGAAGCCTGAACTGATAAAGAGGTGATCGGAACTAGAAAGACTATTTACACAATGACCACAATACTATAAAGACAAACAAATTTGGAAGGACTTAACAACTCACATCAATGACCAATCACACTCCAGAAGACTGTCAATGAAGTATGCTGCCTCTTAGTAGTGATAACAGGAAAATAGGTGCAGAATGAGACTATGCGTCTGAATACAATCCAAACAACAGAGACTTGTTGTGCCTGACTATAGTTATTTGTTAAAAGGAAAGAGTTTTATTTGAGGGGAGAGATAGAAGAAATGAGGAGTGATGGTAATGCAAAAAAAAAAAACCCAAAACAGGGCAATGTTGATTCTAACACACTAAACTTAATATAAATTAAAAATAAAATATAGATTTGTGGTTTCATATATAAACTTTTTCTAACTATTAACTAAAAAAATAGACTGAATCCATACTAAAAATCTTTCCAGAATGACAGAACCTACCACGGTTTACAGTCCAGTAGTACAGGCTTTAAGAACCCAGGATCAATTCCACAACACAATGAGGCATCAAAGCAGGAATTTGTGTAGGATCAACTTACCTTAAAGCAAGGAAATAAGAGTTGGGGGTAAAGAGCACTTCTCTGGATGGAGAAATTTTTAAAATGAATCTGCCTCCCAAGTATCAGTTCTGGGACTAGTATTATTTAATATTTTTATAAAAGACTGGGAAAATGGGATACACAATGAAAAATCTAATAGCAAAAACATTAAACTAAGTGGGACTGATTAAAGACCTCAAAAATGCTATTAAATTTGCAGAAGAATTCAATGCAACCACAAATAGTTATGTTTAGAAAAAATAAATCTAAACCATATTTATGAGAGTGTGATCTAGGTTGTCAGTTAAGATCCAGAAAAAGGATACAAGAATCATTATAAACTGCTCTCAACATACAGTAATACCATGACAAAAACATCTACAAATGTTGAACACTGTCACAATAAGTTTAGAAACAAAAGAGAAAATATTATTTCACCCTTCTTCAAAACCTTGATGTAGCTGGACCTGGCGGAATGTATATAGTTCTGGTATTCATAGATCAACATGAATATGGAGGTGGTCCAGAAAAGGGTGATTAAAATAAGCAAAGAATGAGAGAACTATTAGACAAAGAGAGGTATGGTACTTCTTTCTGGAAAGATAATAATAAGAAAGGTATATGACCAATGTCTATAAAATATGAATGATGTGGTTTGGTGAACATAAACTTATTTAACAAATATGGGAATATCAGAATTTAAAGGAACCATTGAATCTTATGAAAGAAGACATTTTGTGACAGGTAAAAATATATGTTGGTAGTTACAAATCTATCGCACCGATAATTTCAAGAGAGTAATGCTCCCCAAATATAAGTAGGTTCAAAGGAAAACTAAAATAAGTTGATGAATGATAGATCTAATTGATTCAGTCCTTCTGTACTTCTACTTTTCAAAAGATCAATCAGAAGGTCACTGGAGAACTGAAAGACATTAATTTTTGTCCTGTTCTCTTTTTTGTTAGTTCTAATAAACGAGTATATCATGGACCATGCTGAACTAACCAATAAAATTTCAAAATAATAGTTAACTATATTTTAACCAAATTCTAATTTAAGGTAGCTAGAGACAGTAACAATTTCTCCCAGTTTTCCCAGTAAAATTCCCACAATTATTGGGGGTGAATAGATAGTGTGGATATTCAGAAATATCTGAATTCAGCAGACTTAGGGAAAGTGCCTAGGGAAAAAACAAAACAAAACAAAACAAGATCATTTGGAAGAATAAAAGGTCAAGAATATCAAGGGAATTAAGGGAGAAAAAGGTGAAGGAAGTCAGTCTAGTCACACCAGATCTTAAACTATATTACAAAGTGGTAATCATCAAAACAATCTGGCACTGGCTAAGAAATACAGTGGTATATCAGTGGAACAGATTAGGTACACAATACACAGTAGGAAATAACCACAGTGATCTCTGATAAATACAAGGATACAAACTCTTGGGACAAAAACTCAAACTCACTATTTGACAAAAACTTCAGGGAAACCTGGAAAGCAGTTTGTCAGAAACTAGGTATAGGTCAACACTTCGCACCATATATCAAGATATTGTCAAAATGGGTACATGATTTAGACACAAAGGGTGACACCATAAGCAAATTAGGAGAGTGTGGAATAATTTACCTATCAGATCTATGTATAAGGAAAGAATTAATAGCAAACGAGAGACAGAGAGCATTTCAGGAAATAAAATGGATAACTTTGATTACATTAAAATAAAGTTTTTGCACCAACAAAACCAATACAACCTAGATTGGAAGGAAAGCAGAAAACTGGGGGAAATATTTTATAGCAAGTTTCTCTGATAAAGGCTTTATCTCTCAAATATATAAAGAACTAAGTCAAATTTATAAGAATATAAGTCATTCCTCAATTGATAAATGGTCAAAGGATATGAATAGGCAGTTTTAAGAAGAAATCAAAGCTTTCTATAGTTATAAATGAAAAAATCCTCTAAATCACTATTAATTAGAGAAATGCAAATCAAAACAACTGAGGCATCACCTCACACCTATCATATTGGCTAATATGATAGAAAAGGCAAATGACAAAATGTTGGAGGGGATATGGGAAAACTGGGACACTAATGCACTGTTGATCAGCTTATGAACTGATTCAACCGTTCTGGAGAGCAATTTAGAACTATGCCCAAAGGAGTATAAAACTGTTCATACTCTTTGATCTAGCAATACCACTTTTAGATCTGTAACCCAAAGAGATTTTTTAAAAAAAGAGAAAAGGAGGTATATGTACAAAAATATTTATAGCAACTCTTTTTACATTAGCAAAGAACTGGAAACTGAGTGGATGCCCATCAATTGGGGAATGGCTGAACAAGTTGCTGTATATGAATGCAATGGAGTACTATCAGGCTATAAAAAATGATGAACAGGATGCTTTCAGAAAAACCTTGAAAGACTTACATGAACTGATGAAAAGTGAGGTGAGCAGAACCACAACACTGCGCAGTAACAAGAATATTGCACAATGATCAACTGTGAATGACAGCTATTCTCAGAAATACAAAGATCCAAGACAATTCTGAAGGGCACATGATGAAAAATGCTATCCACCACCAGAGAAAAAACTGATGGAATCTGAATGCAGATTGAAGCATACTGTTTTTTAAAAGTTCTTTATTTTTCTTGGGTTTTTTTTTTTGGTCTGTGTTCTCTTTGACTGCACATGTATAACATTTATCAAACTGCTTGCCTTCTCAATGAGAGGACAGGGGAGGGAAGTGGGAGAAAATGTGGAAACCATTGTTTTTACATGTAACTGGGAAAATTGTTTTTACATGTAATGGGGAAAAATAAATTTTTTTTAAAGAAAAAGAATAAAATAATCTTCATTTCCCCACTTTGATCTCTTCTTTCTCCTTTTTTAAATTTTAATCTCTTGCCTGCTTTTGAACACTGATGTTCAGTTATGCCATTTACATCTTTCCTTCAACAGAGCTAAATGCCCTGGTATTGTCTTGATTAATAGTATATACTTACAGACACAATTAAAAATGACATCAGGCAAAATATGTCTGTGCTGTTTCTTACTTCTCTTGCTATATAATTTCAAGGTATGGTTCTTCTCAGATGTGTGTGTGTTAGTATAATACAGTTTTTATTACTTTAGTATTTAATTTTGCCTGTGATTAAATGCCAAAATATCAATTTATTAAAGACTATATAACTGAATGAATTTTAAACTCACCATTAATCTGCACAGTTAATAGAGCTGAAGAATCTTCCTGCTTGGCACCTTGTTCCATATTTAACAAACGTGATTTTAAACTATTGTTTTCTTCCAGTGACTTGCTTAACTGTTGTTTCAAGGTATCCTGATGGCATAAAAATATAGAGATAATAAAAACAAAATTGACTACCATCGCTTCTTAAACTGTGGGTCACAACCCCATCATGACCCACAGTTCAAGGAGCGCTGAAGGGTTTCAAGTGGAAAAAGTTTGAGAAGCCCTAGAATAAATTACCCTTAGGCATTAGCAACAATGTAAGTATTATAATTTCTGAACCTAATGTCTTTTCAGTATTTCTGATAATACAGGTATTCATATAACTCTATAAGGCATTACCAAAATTAAATAATAGTCACTGGCTTCAAGGAACCCTATTAAGCAAGACATAAGACGTGTTCAAATATAATAAACATCTCAATGTCAAAAATTAATAAGCATAAAGCATTCTGTAAACAAGAGAAAATCTGAAAAACATGCTACTCATGCCTTTATTCAAGTCACTGTTAAAAACATCGAGATCAAGGCTCTTTCCAGGCTACCATCTACCATGTGTGCTATTGTTGAATGTGACAACTGGAGTGCCTAGTGCTCCTGACGCTCTTTGCAAGCCAAGTTTGAATTATAAAAGAACTGGTCAGAAAGCTGAGCAGGTCTCAAAAATGATATTTTCTGGCATTCCAACTGCTGGCAAGGGCTTCCTTCAGTTAAGAGCTGCAGAAGGAGAGTTATGTTTTGTATTTTTTTTAATTCTTGCATCATATGTTCATAAACTTCAATTCTGAACCAGATTTAAGTGGATTTTATGGGCCATTATTGTCTGCTGTGTTTTAAGCAAACACAAACAAAACCTAGAACCTCTGGTCTAAACTAAATTTAGGCTTAGCCCACACAATATTTGGCACTGTAGGCAGAGTCTTTTTGTTTTGTTTGTTGTTTTTTTTAAAAAAATATTTTATTATGGCCTCATGATTAATTTTTTTTTATTTTAAGAAAGCAGGAAAAGGGGTACATTTTTAAAAGAGATGGGTTTGGCAGACTGGATTTATGATCCTTCCCGTTTCCTCTGCCTCTCCCCACTCCTTATAGCCAGCCTGCTTCTAGTACAATTAGTTCACACCTTCTAGATATACATTCCCCCTCCCCACACCTCCCTTCCCCAGAATGACTTTAGGCACCATCTACAGGTCTTTACTTAGATCAACAGAAAAATCTGGGCCAATTAGTGAAGTCTGAAATCTGCAGATTGGGGCAGATCCAGCAGCTATTCAGATGAGCAGGACCATTCATTCATACAAACTCTCTGTAATTAATGGTAGGAAGTATGAGGCCTACCACCATGCTAGGTGGTCAGAGAGTGATGACACACTTGCTCATGTTTAATAAATGCAAAGGTATTGATAAAATTATATTGGGATGTCTAGAAGCAAGATAGCAAGGATGCTTCTACCCTTCTAAAACTTCTGATTTTCCTGAAAGCCTCTACTCTACTTGGGTGTTTGAAGCCACAAATGTCTTTGTATCCAGATTTAAAGGACTGGGAGTATGAATTTTCCTATTGGTGACTCTAGTTCCACTAGAGCTTGGATTATTTTAACTGCAGGACCCTTGGGGGACTAGTAAGCCATATGCCCAAGTTACTGTGGTAAGAAAAGGGAGAGTATCAAATATATAAAGGGTGGCTGGATACTGGCCATGTTACAATTCTACTAAGGGCCCCTCAATAACTTCATGGAGGTATTCTAATTTCTGCTTCAGGCTTTGAGAAAAAAATACCATAGGTGGAGGGCTCCCCATTTGGGCCTCAGTTGTGGTGGCTGATTCAGGGAGTGTATTTAGGGCACGGATATTATGAGTTCTTGGGAGTCAATACTTGTTCAAAGGTCAGTTGTTCTGATCCTGGTCCATCTGCTTAGATTGAAAATTTTGCTTGTATCCTGAAACTCTCTATTCTGATCTTGCCAAGGCACTTGGTAACCACAGACTTGCTTTCTGTTAAAATTAGGAATCTGTTATCTTTACCCTGGGCAACATTCTCTCTGCCATAGTAATCCTTATGACAGTTATTGTTGGAAGGGCTAAATGGAAATCCTTGGGGCTGTCTAAACTATCTCCTATGGTTAAAATTAAATAATTTCAGGTATATGTTAGTAGTAGTGGTAGTGGGTCCCAACCAGTACCTCCCTAGTAACATGGATGAAGGAGGCTGGAGTAGTCTTATGCAAAATTGTCTGTTTAATTACCCTATGTGGCCAGTGAAAGTAGATGTCCCTAATGATTAATAGCAGGTTACTAAGAACTGAATAAAGGAGTTATTCCAATTGCTTCATCTGTTCCTCATCATGTCCAGCTAGAGCAGGGTGGGATTATTGATCTCACTTATCCATTTTTTCTCCATCTCTGTGGCTGAGACCAGTAAGGGACTGTTTGTTTTTACCTGGGAAGGAGGTCAATATACTTTCACCATTTCCCCCCATATCTGAACCTTCTTTCACACTGCCAGTTTAGTGGGCAGAGACCTGAGAGTCCTCACTTCATGAGCACATCAACATACACCACACCTTTATATTGAGGGTACATTGGCTAACTGCTGGATGATGCCATGGCAACAGAAGTCTTGAAATGGATAGTGGCTCACATGACAAGGGATGGAAAATCAGACCAAATAAAATTCAGGCTCCTTCCCAATCAGTTAAGTCTTTAGTGATACATCAGATGGGGAGAATCCAGATAATTCTGGATATAATTCACAACAAGCTATTGATGCTTGCTTTGCTACAGACTAAAGAAGTTCAAAGGCTTATCAGACTCCTTGTGTACTAGAAAATACAAGTACATTATCTGACTATTTTAATGGTTCTTATTCATTAAATTATTCTTAAGTCTGACTTTTTTGAGGGAATTAGAACAGGTTATAGACTTGCAAGATTTAAAGTGAACTGTCCAGCATTAACATCCCCCTTTGAGTACATATGATCTTAAGGGTTCCTGGAGGTTTCTGGTACCTGAAAGACCAGGTACCAAGAACTGGACAGATCAAATCACTAGGCTTTTTGGAGCTGTAAACTTTTAGAAGTAGACACTCATTTCATTATGTTCAAGAAACAATTGCTTTCATGTTATTAGACTCCAGTTGCTACTGAAAGGATCACACTGAGAAACATGATTATCCTTCATCCAGAACTATCCATCATGAGTTTAATTAATGGTCCTTCTAATAAGATGGGTAGAGCACAAAAGGTTTCACATTGTGAAATGGAAACAGTACACCAAAATCATGCTTGATGGGACTCTTAAGGTATTAGTACAGCTACCTAGTTAGTGCAGCAGATAAGGCACTGGGCCCAGAGTCAGGAAACCTGAGTTCAAATTCAGTCTCAGAAACTTACTAGCTGTGTGACCTTGGGCAGGTCATTTAACCTCTGTTTGCCTCAGTTTCCTCAACTGCAAAATGGGAATAAAAATAGCAACTATCTCCCAGGGTTGTTGTGAGGATCAAATGAAATAATATTTGTTAAGTGCCTAGCAAAGGCCTGGATATAGTAGTTGCTATATCAATGCTAACTATTAGTAGTAGTAGTAGTAGTACCCTTCATGAACAAGTTGTGACACAGCTAGTGGCTGAGCTCTCTTAATCACCATCCTTGGGATTCATTCTTGTTTGTCAATGTCCTTCTTAAATAAAAAGTCTATCTCTTAATAGATGAGGAGAATTTATCCAGAAATGGTTGTTGTAAAAGCAACAGACATTTAAAAAGTAAAATACGAGAAAATAGAGAAAAGTATAAGACCTAGAATGTGCAACAGAGGTAGTCCCTGATTTATGAACATCTGACTTAAAAAGAGATGTCAAGGAGTCAGTATAGAGCCTAGCCCTACCTCCATTTTGGCAACAGCTTCTTCTCTAACTCAGAGTACCTTAACAGTGACTGACCTAGGAAGTTAACTTCTTTAACAAAGTTGTGAAGAAATGCTACGCAGTTGTACAGATTCAGGAAAATGGTCTTCTTTCACAGATGTGCAAAGTTAAGTTATTAGTGCCTAGCAGTATTTATTATATTTCTCTGCCACTCACAAAGGAATTCTTTCCACAGGTCTTCCAGGAAGGCACTGAGAGGGAAGGAACTCAATATCTGGAATCCTTTGGAAAACGGGATATATTTTCCCACAGAAATAATGGAGCAAATAGTAGTTAGTTGTGGTTGAAATAGCACCATTACATAAATATACTTCAGGTAGAACATGAGCTAATAAACAAGATTTTTCTGTATTGATCTGGGAAACTCACTACAATTTATAATATTGGATCTTTGGAGAAATGTGTTCCAAGTTATACAAACTAACTTAAGCAAACTTTTCAAATGTAACCCTTTCATAAGTTAAAGCTGTTTGTACGTCAATGTAGTCAGACTTGGAAAGAGAACAATAGAATTATTACTTCCTGTGATATTATTCTATGAATGTAGAATTCCCCACCCAACACATCTAAGAATTAAGATGTATGGCTCACCATCTCCTTAAGTGTGTTGTTTAATTCCAACATCAGTCCACTAATCCTTATATTGTACTGCTGTTCCTGTTCAGCCAGATTTTGTAAGGCTTTGTTTTCTAAAATCAAATGATTAATTTTTTCACTCATGATTGATGAATTTTCCTGACTGGATGCAGATATTTGCACAGAAGACAAAACATGTCTTGCCTGACCTGAGATTAAAAAGCAAGCTTTAATAATATTTAAGGAAAAAGATAATATCACAAATGCATTTTAAATATTTCAAAGTACTTCATAATTCTACTACAAATGAAATATGGCATAAAGAATTCTAAATTTTATTAACAGTGTGTGATAACAATGATATGGTTATTCTATCAATGCAGAATGCGATCCATCCACATCTGCTCATTCTGTGAAATTCTTATTTATGTTTCTCTCAAATTCTCCAAAGAGGATCTACTCAAAACATTAAAGGATTTTTTTAAAAAATTATGGGTACCAATATAGTACTCTGGATATCCACCTGTTATCCTTCACTCTCTTTTCATTACAAACTCATCTCCTATTCTATTTATGTGTCTTTAACGATGTCTTTCAAGCTATTTTTCTGAAAAATAATAGTTGGCAATGTATTTCAGTCTACTTACAACTACCATGCACCTCTATTACCCTGTGTGTCAATAAAGATCTTTATTCTTTTGAGATTGTGGCCTTTCATGATTGACAGTTATATTGCATCACTAGTATTTTTTAATTTTTTGGAGGCAATTGGGGTTAAGTGAATTGTCAAAGGTCAAACAGTAAGTGTCTGAGGCCAGATTCAAACTCAGATACTCCTGACTCCAGGGCAAGTGCTCTATCCACCGCACCAGCTAACTGCCCCTACATCACTAGTATTAAAAGAAGAGGTTTTATGTTAGGAAGAAGTTTGGGATGATTGAAAGCACTGTATAATTTTCAATCTGTTTTCTTCCTCTTACTTAAGTATGACCTGGCTCACTGTACAACTGCTGAGCTATTTTAAGAAACATGTTCTGGTAAACTATCAAATTTATGCCATATTCTGGACAATATGAAATTCTTATTCACTTCACTTCTCATTTGTGTATTAACTGATATCTACTCAGTAAGTAAAGGCTTCAAAAAGGGGGGCTCAGGATAATCTGGGACTTGATATAATCAGCACAATGTCTTTTGCACATAATAGCATCTAGAGGTGCTCATAAACTCTAATCCATCCTTTACACAGCTGCCAGGGATATTCCTAAGTACAGGTCTGACCATCTTATTCCCCTTCTTAATAAACTCCAGTTTATTAAGATATCCATAAGATCAAATATAATCTGGGTTCAAATACTGAATCCTACTACCTCTGACTTTTTCTAGTATTAATGCTACAGATAGCACTTCTAGAACTATATAAAAGAATAGTGCTGACAATCATGTGTGCTGCCACTGTGGGTCACATCCACTTTGTTTGCCTATGGAATTGTACTCCCCCAGCTCCTTGGTTTTGTTTATATATGATGTCAAATGCAAACTCAATTTCTCCATTTAACTTCACTTATTAAACTGAAGTTATCTTTAAAAGGTAAAAAAAAAAGTTTTACTTGGATCTTATTATACAGACCTCTAATCTTTCTCCATTATATGGAGCTCTGGGTTTTGACAAATACATCTTACCATATTATTTCTACACTTTCTAAGCTATGAACATTTCTAGTGGGTTTTTTTAAACAGAAACAGGTATTATTTTGTCAAAAGCTTTTTCAGCATCTATCAAAATAATTGGACGGTTTTATCATTTTATTATTAACATGGACTACAAATACTTGAAAGACAAATTAACTGAATTGTATGGAAACGTAGAAAGTAAATTTATAACAGTGGGGTACCTCAATGTACCCCTTTCAGATCTAAAAAGATCAATTTTGTAGCCCTCATGGCAAAGGCTTTACCTTGTACAAGACTGGTTATGGTGAGGGGCAGGTAGGTGGTGCAGTGGACAGAGCACTGGCCCTGGACCTGAGTTCAAGTCCAACCTCAGACACTTACTAGCTGTGTGACCCTGGGCAAGTCACGTAACCCCAACTGCCTCACCAAAAAATAAAATAGACTGGTTATGGTGTTATTCTCTTCTTCTGGGTTTATCATTTGGCTTTCTCTCAGTTCATACTACTTTTATACGGTCAATTTTTGTAAAGGGTTCAGATATATGTAAAGTCATTTCTGTTCCCATTCAGTAATCGTCAGAGGTCTACCATCTCTAACTTTTCTAAAGTTCTATTCAGGTCATTAACTTTTTTTCCCCCCTTTTGGTTGTTGTTGTAGTAGTTGTTAGATCTTCTTGGTTTAAAAGGAATATTTCGTGCACAAATATTTAGTATTTGTATTAATTTGTTATTTATGGTGCCTTTAACTATAATATAATATCCCAGATTATCTCATATTATCATGCCTCTTATTACTGTTACTCTCTTTTGAAATCAAGATTGTTAGCCCTGCTTCGAGTTGACCTGAAGCACAACAGATTTTGTTCCAGATTGTACAGCAATCTTTAGGTTTCAAGAATATTTCTTACAAATAACATATTGTTGGATTCTGCTTACTAATCTATGCTGCTATTCTTTTCTAATTAATGGGTCATGAAATAATCAGACGGATTCTTTTTTTTTAATTGATCTTATTTGCAATTAGTTGATTTTGTCCTGTTATTGCCTAAGTCATAGTTCTTTACCTCTGAACTTAGTCCAGAAATTCAGCTGGCCTGTAATGAGTTAAGTTTAGAAATCCAGTTCTGCTCATGAGTTTTATTCTTGTCTCAAGAAAATCTGTTATCCTTGAAGAATGCTGGTGGATACCAGGGAGTCTGCATAGTATCTTTACACCACCAACTATCCTTCAAGGATGTATGGTTTGTTATCCAAAGAAGTGTGCTCAACTATCTCTAACCTTGTAGGCAGATTCAAACAATGAACTTTTCTTAGTCACAGGAGGAAAGAAGGGGGTTGTTGTTAGCCCCTAATTCTCAATTTCCAACCAATCATATTGTCCCCCATGTCTCAGCTCTGTAATCAATCATACTGATTTCACCATTCAGTAAAATCACTCTTTTATCCAATATAACTTGTTCTCTGTCTATGAAGTCCTATTCTTTGTTCCATACTCCCCAAAACTATAAAAGAGAATTGTCATGCTCATTCAGGGTCTTAACTTTGCTGAGGAAGCTGAGATCCTATTTATTAGTAAATTCATGCATTATTAATAACTTGATCTTAGAACTTTGTGCCTCAGTCTTCCTTATTTTAGCTACCAGATAATTTATCTCATTAATGTTCATGGCTATGATTATTAATCTGTCCACTTGTATTTTCTTCTCTCTTTGCCTCCCCCTCCCCCTTTACAAAGAGATGGTACAAGTGTGCTTAACAATAATGATCTATAATCAAATAGATGTTTGCATTCCATTGTCCCTCTTTTCCTCTTATCTCACTCCCAATCAAAGGTTTTTTACTTTCTTTAAACACTCCCTAAATGATCAAACTTACAACACTGGTGTTTGACTACTCCCCCATCTACCTTGCCATTCACTTAAACTTCTCTTCTTTTTCCATTTATTTCCCTGTTGATTTTAATATATTTCTGTATCAAGCTCTGTGTATGTATTTTTTCCAACTTTCCTTTCCTGTTCAGATAAAAGGTTAATAAGATGCTGCTTCTCTTGACCCCCTTCTTCCATGTTTATATACTCTTCATGTCATGCACCCCTATTATATAAGACTGTAAGTTCCCTCCTACTCCTCCCCATTTCTTTTTCCTTCTCTAACCACCAAAAAAACCCAAAACCACTCCCAGGCATTTTGCCTGTCTTATTTAACTTTCCTACATAACTTGAAAAGTTCTGGGAACATTTGCTTCTTTTCCCATTCTTAGAATGCAAATAATTTATCATTGCATAGTCCCTTTAAATTGATAAGAAAGTATTTATGTTTCTCATGACTTCTAGGTTCACAATTCAAGGTTTCTACTTTGGTCTTTTCATCAGGAATTTTTGGAAATCTTCCATTTCATTAAAAGTATACCTTTTTCTCCTATAGGATTATATTCAGATTTCTCAAACAGGTTATTTTTGGTTGTAAGCTTTTTTCTTTTGCCTTTTGGAACTATGTTACAAGCTCTCCTCTTCTTAATAGTAAGAGCTGCCAAGTCTTTCATGATCTTGACTTTAATTTCTTTGTACTTTAATTCCCCATCCACCCCACTCCTCCACCCCCTACTCTGGCTGTTAGCAGTATTTTTTTCTTTGACTTGTAAACTTGGATTTTAGCTATGACATTCTTGGGAATTTTCATCTTCAGTTTTCTTTCGGCAGTTAACCAGTGAAATATTGCCCTTTGACTCTAAAAGACCTGGGTACTTATTGTTTATCATTTCCTGAAATAAAGTAATCAGGCCTTTTGTTTTTGTGACTTTTCAGGCAGTCTAATGATTCTTACATGATCTCTCCTTGACCTTTTTTTATGGTTCAATTGTGTGTATGTGTGTGTATATATATATATACACACACATATATATGTGTATATATGTATATGTACATATGTATCTATATGTGTATATATGTATTTATATATGTGTGTGTGTGTGTGTGTGTGTGTGTGTGTGCGTATAATTTCCCTCCAATTACATTTCTGAGTTCCAAATTCTATCTTTCCCTCCCTCCTCCCCCTTCCCTGGGATGGTAAACAATCAGATATAAGTTATACATGTGCAATCATGTAAAACATTTCCATATTAGTCATTTTGTACAAGACTCAAATAAAAGAAAAAGAATGAAAGAAAGTGAAAAATAGCCTAATTCAGTCTGTATTCAAACAATATTAGTGCTTTCTCTGGAGGTAGATAGTATGCTTCATCAATAGTTCTTTGGGATTGTCTTAGATCATCGTATTGCTGAGAATTTCTAAGTCATTCACACTTCTTCATTGAACAATATTGCTGCTACTGTGTACAACATTCTGTTCACTTCACTTTGCATCAGTTCATGTAAATCTTTTCAGGTTTTTCTGAAATCATCCTGTTTGTCATTTCTTAAAGCACAATAACAGTCCATCACAATCATATATACCACAGCTTCTTTAGCCATTCCTCAATTGTTGGGCATCCCTTCGATTTCTAATTCTTAGCCATCACAAAAAAAGAGCTCTAAATATTTTTGTACAAATAGGTCCTTCCCCACCCCCCCATTCCCTTTTTGATGTCTTTGGGATATAGACCTCATAGTAATAGATCCAATATTGCTGGATCAAAGGGTATACACAGTTTTATAGGTCTATGGGCACAGTTCCAAATTGCTCTCTATTCTAGAATGGTTGGATCAGTTCACAAGTCCACTAACAGTACATTAGTGTCTTAGTTTTCCCACATCCCCTGCAACATCCATCATTTTCCTTTTCTGTCATATTAATCAATCTGATAGATATGAGGTAGTATCTCAGAGTGTTCTAATTTGCATTTCTCTAATCAATAGTGATTTAAAGCATTTTTTTTCATATAACTATGGATAGCTTTGATTTGTTTGAAAAGTGCCTGTTTACCTCCTTTGATCATTTATCAATTGGGGAATGACTTGCATTTTTATAAATTTGACTCAGTTCTCTATATATTTGAGAAATGAGGCCTTTATCAGATACTTGTTGCAAAATTTTCCCCAGTTTTCTGCTTTTCTTTTAATTTCAGTTGCATTGGTTTTGTTTGGGCAAAAACTTTAATTTGTTATAATCAAAATTACCTATTTTACATTTTGTAATTCTCTTCATATTTTCTTTGGTCTTAAATTCTTCCCTTATCTGTAGATCTGACAGATAAACTATTCCGTGCTCTTCTAATCTGCTTGTGGTATCACCCTTTATGTGTAAATCACGTACACATTTTGACCTTGTCTTAGTATATGGGTGTGAGATGTTGGTCTATACCTAGTTTCTGCCATACTGTCAAACTTTCCAGTTTTTCCAGCAGTTTTTGTCAAATAATGAGTTTTTATTCCAAAAGCTTAGATCTTTGGGCTTACATACTAGATTACTATGGTCATTTACTATAATGTAATTTGTACCTAATCTATTTCACTGATCCACCATTATATTTCTTAGCCAGTACTAAATTTTTTTTATAATTACCACTTCATAATACATTTTGAGATATGGTATGGCTAGACCACCTACTTTCCCATTTTTTTTCCCATTTATTTCCTTGATATCCTTGACCTTTTGTTCTTCCAGGTAAATTTTGCTATTTTTTCCCTAGCTCTATGAAATATTTTTGATAATTTGATTGTTATGGCACTGAATAGATTAATTTAGGTAGAACTGTCATTTTCATTATAGTGGTTCAGCCTACCCATGAGCAATTAATATTTTTCCATTTGCTTAGATCTGATTTTGTATGAAAAGCATTTTGTGGCTGTGTTCATATAGTTCCTGAGTTTGTCTTGGCAGGTAGATGCCCAAGTATTTTATACTATCTATAGCAATTTTAAATGGAATTTGTCTTTCTATCCCTTGCTGCTGGACTTTGTTGGTAATATACAAAATGCTAATAATTGATGTGGGTTTATGATTCAACTGTTTTTGATACTACATACATTTTCTTCTATTTTCCTCCACCTTTTAATTTTAATATTTCTTATAGTAGCACAAAGACAATGCTTTCAGTTTAATTCATATTAATTTTAAGATATTCTACTTTAGAGTTTTACCATCCTCTATTCTTAGCTGTTAGAGGCAGGCAGGTGGTGCAATGGAATACGTGCTAGGCTGGTAGTTACAACTCAGCTCAAATCTGGCCTCAGACACTAGCTGTGTGACCCAGGCTAAGTCATTTAACCTTTGTCTGCCTCAGTTTCCTCACATATAAAACAGAGATAATAATAGTACCTACCTTCCAGGATTTTTGTAAAGACAAAATGAGATCATATTTGTAAAGTACTTTGTAAACCTTAAAGTCCTATATAAATGTTAACTGTTATTATTCTTATCTTTACTATTAATTTTCCTTTCTAGTCTTTCTTCACTGGCATTTCTTTTTATTTTACATTTTGTATACTGATGAATTTTTTCCAAGTGTTTTCATGGTCTTTTTGTCAAAGACTTTATTTTCAATGAAGCTTTACTTAGACTTGTTCTGGAGCTACTCTCTTTTTCTGGGTTTTTCTCTCAGACTTCTCTCAGTCCATACTATTTCCTCATGATGTTTGGCATTTTCTTCTGTTTACTTAAATCTCTTGCTTCAATTTTTGGACTGGGGTTTTGTACTTGGGTTGTGCTCTACTGCCTTCCATACTCTTGGATGGTGAGGGTAGATCTTGCTTGGTCCTGGAAGTGGTAGCTATCCCCAGTGCCTGGAATACTCTCCCTCATGATCTCTGTCTCTCAGCTCTCCTACCTTCCTTACAGTCCTAGCTAAAATAGCCACCTTTTACAAGAAGCTCTTCTCAACCCACCCATTAACGCTAGTGCCTTCCCTCTTTTGATTATCTCCAATTTATGCCCTATATATCCTGTCCGTACGTAATTGTTGGTATGTTCCTCCCTCCCCCATTAGACTAGGGACTCCTCATGAGCAGGAACTATCTTTTACCTTTCTTTGCATCCCCAGCACTTGGCACCATGTCTGACACAGAGTATGTACTTAACAAATGCTTGCTGACTAACTCAAACTGTTGTAGTTTAAGTAATTTGTATTTTTCATATAGATATATGTTATATAGATAAATGACATTATACATGTATGTGTGTGCATATATATGTATGTATATATAATATATGTAGTGAGTGTGTGTGTGTGTGTTTACATTCTCCATTCAGAATGCAATTCCTTACAAGAAGGGATTGTTTTACTTATCGTATTTGTATCCTCAGTACCTAGCATAGTGCCTAATATGTATCAGGCACTTGACAACAACTTGTTGATTGATTAATCATTTCATTATTGGCAAATTCCTTTTGCCTTCTGGTTCATCTACAAGACTGTAAGAATTGATATGGCTCAGTTCTTCCAGTAATATATCGACTCAATAGTTTCTGGACAATGATCTCATATTTAGAGTACCAATAGTTATTGTTTATATATGAGAATAAAATACGTAATTTTCAGCACCCTCTGTGCCCTTTTCTACCTTTCTACCACCATCTCAGCAGAAACATGAGCACTGCACAGTATTGATTTACTCTGTACTCTTGTTTCATGAGCTGCTAGCACTAAAGAATTCATCATTCTGTAGTTAATCTACTGGTGATGGGCCTCTCTTAACTAATTTTAGTCCACAGACACATTATGTTACTGGGTCCATATTTTAAAAATCTGCAACTTGGCAGAATGTCAAAGTTATGCTCTATTGATAAAGTCTTGGAAAATCCTGGGTACTTTTATACCAGAATAAGTCATGGAGTAGAAATTTTGTAGATGTAAGAGCAGTAGTCATAATTTCAAATAAATAAGTAAATAAATAAATAGAGCAAGCAAGGAAGCAAGCACAGGTCCTAGATGAAGCAGCATAGATCTATACCAAACCAACCTTAGCAAAGGTATATGTGGCTCCTCAACCACCACCTGTATTCTCTCTCCTGTTCAAATGCCTCACAACATAAAAATTCACATAACTCCTTCACTTACACAAAGTACAATTTTGTGAACCTGAACAGTAATCTTTTCAAATGGTACCCTAAAGAACAAGTAGAATGAATGTACTTCTAAGAACCCAATTCAACAATAAAATGACTATAAGGTCTGGCCCAATGCTGGGCTTATCAAATCCTGGAATTATTAAGTAGTAATGTTTGCTTGTTTTGTTTTTACTTACAAATAAACTTCTCATTGGATTGTAGAGATTTGCGACCATTCCAATATTTATCCACTAAATCCAAAAGAGTATCCAAGAGTGGTATTTCAAACATATCCTTACTCATTGTCTGTGTTGTTGAATGAGATTTTGACACCTGAATTGGAAAATACGATTACGAAGTTTTTTATTTCACGTAACACTAAATGTACTATTGCTTAACTCTAGCATTTATTAATAAGCTTATTTCCAGGGGGAAAAAAGTATTATTCCTAATAGCTGGTGCCACCAAAGTCTCTATTATTATGTCACTCTAGTTCTTAAGCCTTTTGGCTTAAGATGATTTCCATAGGCCAGAGAAGGATTTATGCCCCCATCTTATTTTACACGGTGATTGGAAATTTTCCATTTCTTCATATGAAGATCATTTGAAGAAGCAAAAGTGCTAACCCCTAGACAAGGAACTGAGGGCTGGGAAAAGGGAAATAACCAGTACCAGGTGTCAAGAATGATTTACCTTCAGAGAAATGAGCTTCCTTAAGTACTTATAAATATCTGGTGTTTCTCTACACAACCACTCTATCTATTGGTACTATTAATGACTTTGAGTTGGAGCAATAGGAGTGGAAATGGAGTCAAGCAAAGCAAAAACAGTAGCTGTAGACCTACAAGACCTAATTTAAATTCTCAACAGAAAGTCAAGTTTTTGGTGACTGAAGATAAGGGTGGGAGAAAAGAAATGCATAGGAACTGGGTTACGGAACTTCAAAACTTTCTTTGAGGGATTTGTGTTTTAGGGCTGGGAGGAGGGCAGTCTGTTTCTTTAATCACTTTTCATGATAACTGCCCCAAACCCTGCTGTCATACACTGAAAAATATGCCTTTAAATGTCATAAAAGCATAGTGTCAATGAGTTGCAGCTGGAAGGGACCTGAGAGGTCATCTATTTCAACCTCCTCATTCTGTAAACGAAGACTGAAACCCAAAGAAATTAAGTCATTTGCTCAAGGTCACAAAGGTAATCAAGAGCAGAGCCAGGATTCAAAGTCAGGTCTTTGACTCCAAACCCAAGAATAGTAACTAGTATGGTGAAAAGGACTTGAAACCATATCAAATGAGGCAACCAGGGATTTTTAGCTTAGAAAAAAGAAGACAGTATGAGACCTCAGGGGTGGTAATAATCACGTGACTGTTATGTGGCTTATTCTGCCTGCTTCTGCTCTATCCAACTAAATGACAGAAAATTACAGAAAAGAAGAACTCAGCTTAATATAAGGAAAAATGTCCTAAAAACAAGAACTGTCCAAACACAGAATAACAATAATGATAGTAATAATTCGTGTTTGCATAGCATTTTGAAGTTTTAAAAATTATCTTCCTCACTCCAGTCATATAAGAGATGCAGTAAAAGTATTATTATCCCACTTTAATATCCGAGTTACCACAATTAGTAAGTGGCAAAGCCAGGATTTCAGTGTATTGACTCCAAAAATAGAGCAATACACTGCAGCTTCTTGTGAGGCTGCCTAAGGGAGCAATGAGTTTCCCATCCCTTTTTTTGTTGTTATTCAGTCATTTTTCAGTTGTGTCCAACTCTTTGCGACCTCATTTTTTTTGGGGGGGAGGGGTTCTTGGCAAAGATGCTACAGTGGTTTGACATTTCCTTCTCTAGCTCATTTTACAGATGAAGAACTAAGGCAAACAGGGTTAAGTGATTTGCCCAGGGTTACACAGGCCAGATTGGAACTCAGGAAGAGGAATCTTTCTGACCCCAGGCCTGGCACTCTACCCACTGTACCACCTAGCTGCCCATTCTCATCATTAAAGGTCTTTAAGTAAAGGATGGATGACTACTTATTGAGAATGCTGCAGAGGTGATTCATGGTTTGGGGAGGGGTTTGACTAGACAACTGAAATTCTCTTTGAATTCTAAGGTGAACCTGACAGCCAAGAGGCTCTACTGACCTGAGATGCGACAAGTATTAGAAATCAACTAGAAGAGGAGACTAAAACCCTAGGTTAAAGCTAACAGAAAATGTCCTAAACAGAATCTTTCCTTTAGAAACTCTCACCAGAGTAGAACTTACAAGGCTGAGGGAATCATCTTATCATAGGATTACAATTTTGGAGCTAACAGGTCATCTTTCCCCTCATTTTACAGAAACTAAGGTCCAAAATTTACATAGTAAAGAGCTGAGTGTGGATTTGAGAACAGCTGACTTCAAATCCAAAGTCCTTTCTACTGTACCATGCCACCCAGAGTGAGGTTGCAAAGGCACTGTTTTCCTCCCTTGGTTTGAGACAACTATGTTCATCGCTACAAATGAGTCATGAGAAAAAAAAAAGAAAAAAATTCCAAGGGAGTACTACTGGTCAATGTGGTTTGAGGCATTTGCCCCACAACTGAACCAGCCTTTCCAGGACAGTGATAGAGATGACTCTGCCACCATGTGGCAGGAATGACTGAATTACAACTTTGAACAAAACGGATATGTAAAGGCAAATACAAAAATCACCTATATAATCTCTATTGCTGTACTTCTATTTTAACAATTCCACTGTAGATGATCTTTTAAAACAGAGAAATGTTTCTAAAGAAATATATAAAAGCATAATAACAAAAAACTAATTTAAAAAAACTTTGGCAAGCTATATTATGGAATTAAACATATGTAAGTTAATACCAAACACTTAACAATACTTAGAGAAAAAAATATACTGTGGTCCATAAATAGAAAAAAAAATGAACATTAACATCCAATGATTATAAAATAAGAAATAGTAGAGTCCTATTGAATAAAAACAATTCTGCCAAAATTATCACATCTTTTGGCTTACCTCTTTGACAGATGCATTTATATTTTTAGTCCTTGGCTGTTCAGATCTATCAGGTTCAGATCTATCAAAGTTAGAAAAGCTTCTGTCATTTTTTCTTTCCAATTTCATTTTTCTTTCCATTTCTTGGCTGAAAATACTTTCATCAGCACTGGGTAATCTATTATTTCTTTCCAAAAGGTCCTGACAATTCTCTTCCTGAATTGATTGTAATCTTCTATTAAGCACTTTTCTTTTATGTGTTATTCCAGAAGTAGCTAAAGATATTAGCATTTTTTGAGCGGAGGTAACTTTCTTCTGTTCAGGATTATTGAATGGTCCCTCTATTCCTGTAGATTCTATAAAGTGAGGAGCAAATGATCATATCCCCTAACGTATTAGTTCTAGTACTACCAAACTAACATCATCATTCAAAAACAACAACAAAAGGATATTAAGTTAGCAAAAATGACTTTCACATTTAAAGCTTATTTAATGGACTAATTATTCTGTTTCCTTAAGAAAGCTCTATGTTCACAGATCTTTAGTATCTATAAAAACTGAGGAATTTTAATTACACAAAAATTCATAATTTGCTTCATTACAAAAATACATTTAATAAACGGAATGCTTTAAATGTAAACTTGGTGTCTTTCTCAGCTCCTCATTCTCGCTCATCCCCTAGAGTCAATTCACTGTCAAGCTTTGTCTTTTCTATTTTCCTAACATCACTTATATAGTTCCCTCTTCACTCACACAATTACTAGTCTGGTTCAGGTCCCCATCATTTCTTGTCTCTTGTCAAGACTACTTCAATAGCCTTATAACTGCTCTCCCTGCCTCAAAGTTTGTCCTCATTAGAATTTCACTCAGCAGTCTACAGCATAGATCTGACCCTGCTCAAATTAAGGTGCTCCAGTGGCTCCCAATTTTCTCTTTAGTATCAAATATAAAGTGCTCTGTCTACCATTTAAATTTCTTTGTAAGTTGAACTCTTCCTAGTTTTTGAAGCCTCTCATATCTTAATTCCCCTCTACAAACTCTATGATCCATTTACTTGTGGTTTGAAAACAATATTCATCATTCATCTCTGGGCCTTTGCACTGACTGTCCTCTAGATGGGGAATGCTCAGCCTCCTCACCTCCACCTCTTAAGTTCTCCTGGCTTCCATCAAGACTCAACTCAAATCCCACCTTCTGAAGGCTTCTCCTGGTCTTACCAGATGCTAATGTCTTCTCTTTCCAGAATATCTTCATGAATGCTGTATATACCTTAAATATACACTTAGATGCTTACATGTTATCTCCCTGATTAGAATGTACAATCAATCCTTGAAAACAGGGACCGGGTGCCACATTTCTTTTTATCCTTGCCTTTCTTTGTATCCCTGTCTTTTATCACAGTGCCTGGCACATAGTAAGCACTTAAAAAAATTCTTGCTTACTGACTGGTGCACTACACATATTGTCGGCTTTTTACCATGTTAAAAATTTTGCAGAACTGACTTTTTTCCCCCATTTTTAAAATTTTTGGTTATAAGAGATTGTTCCTAACCAGTTACCCTGCCATCCAATCCAAAGATTATGAAAGCCCTGAATTTAACCCTTTCATCTTCAGAATTTTCATCCTGGCCTTCCTCACCTCCTCACCCCACTCCATCACAGTGAGGGCTTCCTGTGACCTACTATATAAGATCAGACCAGTTCTAGCCATGACAAACTTATTCCAACTCTTCATTTGCCTCGTCACCCAGATCAGAGACCATGAACTGGAGGATTTAACCCTTTCATAGTCATAACTGCCAAACTGGGGACCCCCCCCCAATCCTGAGTGATGAGTACATCATGGGGACCATTCTATCCAAATAGGTTGGCTTCAGCCATGCTTCCCTGTCCTATCCAGAGAACTCCTCATCAAACTCTCTGCCACCATGCACATGCCCAGTGAGCCACTCTTTTCCCCTAACCCCTGTTTGCCTGTTCTGGAGACATAATCAAATTAAAACTGCTACTGCTACTAGGAAGGAAGTAACGATCAACTCCATTCATACAGAGTTGCCAAACCAAAATATCCCTCCTGACCCTGCTATCCTTTTACATGTTGTCTCCTTCTATTACTATATAAATTCCTTGAAGTCAGGGACTGTTTTCACTTCTGTATTTGTATTCCCAGAGCTCTGTACAGTGCTGGGAACTATACTCCTGGTGAGAAAAACAGTCTCTTCAAATTCTGATCGGCAAACTGTTCTGCAACAAAGTCTTCGAGAGTTGACTAGGGACACAGAGAGGTTAACTTGTCAATGATCACATCACTAATATCTGTCAGAGGCAAGTTATTAACAGTTATTAATAATAGTCTAACTGAAAGGAAAAAAAAGTTAAGGAGACCAAAGAATTATCATTTGTGTATAAAAAGGCTTTGGTAAAAATGCCAAATTCCATGAGGGTATGTAAGAATCAGAAGAATACAGCAAAGTAAAATAAAAGTAAAATTAAACAGGTGAAATTTTAAAAAAAATGTGAGCATGAGTTTAAAACAAAATGGGAATTGGAAGAGATGATTACTATAGACCTTTCTTGTTATAATTCTGTGTTATGCAGTGCTTGTGGAAATTCTGTTGGTTAGTTGGTTTGGTAGTGGCAAAATAATTATAAGTGCTTCTATCACACAGAAATAATACCATTTACTACAAAAATAGGTAAGGCACAAATGAAAACAGCATGTATTAAAATGGTAAGAAATCACAGACAAATTATTTTTAAACACTACATCAGTGTTTTCTAAGAGTTAACATCTGGGATTTTCCAGTTGTCTTCCAAGTGTTATCAGTAAAATCCTCAAAAAAATTTCAAAACCAAAGTAAGCTTAAATTTTACCTTTAAAACTAAAAATTATGGGGCAGCTAGGTGGCACAGTGGATAGAGCACTGGCCCTGGATTCAGGAAGACCTGGGTTCAAATCCGGCCTCAGACACATAACACTTACTGGCTGTGTGACCCTGGTCAAGTCACTTAACCCCACTGCCTAGCCAAAACAAACAAACGAACAACAGCAACAACAACAACAACAAAACACTAAAAATTATGTAACGGTGAGCAAAGGCAAAGGTAAACTATTATGAAATCCAAAAAATAACAGAGCATTTTAACTTCAAAAATATTGGGATTCATGGAACTTTTAAATGACCAAAATTAAATTTAATTACAGTAGGTGGTGCCATGGAAAAAGGGAGGGAAAAACAGCAACAACACAAAACTACCTAGTCTGTGGAACAATAATTATTCAAAGTATGAATTTAGTAGTCTGATAATCCTAGATGTCAATAAATCAATTACCAACTTGAAAATCCAGCATGTTATAAAAGCATACTACTTTATGGTTGCTATTTTAAATATTAATAGTCTGAAAATATTTACTATGAACCAGTTACTAATCTTCAAAAAGTTATTAATCTTCAAAAAAACTCAACTTAAGAATTTTAGCACCTATACATCTAAAATAAAGGATACAGAGACAAGGGATTGGAGCCGGAATGTCACTAATCTAGGGAGTTTCTGATGAGGGACATCTTATCAGTATAGATTCTTACCTTCTCTGCAACTTACACTCTTAGTTGCCTAGAGAACTGAAAGGGTTAAGTGTCTTGCCCAGGGTCAGACAGCCCAGGGGCAGGACTTGATCCCAGTTCTTCCTGACTTCAAAGTCGTAGCTCTCTATCTACTATGCCATAATGCCACCTATTTATGAAAAGCTACATAAAATTATGCAAAATGATGTCAAGAAAAAAAATTTCAAGAAAAGAAAAAGATAATGAAAGTTTTAAATTGCACTATAAATTCAAAAGAAAACTCCCCATTTGCAAGCTATTAGCAAACTAACATACGTTAAATATGTTTTCAATAAACATAAAGAAAAGCACAAGGATTATCATAGCTGTATCACATAGAGTGAGGGGGGAAAAAAACTTATTTAAATAAGAACTCTTAATTTTTGATTTGATTACCTGAGGGTTGGAAGTCAAAAAGACTAAGAGACATATGTTTATGCTGACCTTCTATTTCATCTTGACATTTCAATTTGGGATGTTCATTAAGTTTATCATCCAGAAAACTCACTTTGCTGCTGCTTTTTTTTCTATCGTAGCCCCTTAAGTTATCTTCAGAGATATTTGGCAATGTTTTAGGACTTGGGAGATGTCTAGAACCTGGTTTTTAAGAAATGAATATTATAAAAAATAGTTTTATCAGATAAAATAATAAATACAATTACATTTTCAAACTGACAAGTAATAATATCAGAAAAGTGTATTTTCCTAAAATGGATCAAATATCTGATAAAATTCAGAAAGTTAGTATAGTTTAACAATCTAACACTTAATATAACGAGTCTGTATTACTATAAAATAAAAAGGATCAGTTGAACAGACAATTAATTTTCCAAAGATAGGAAAATGTTATATTTTAAGCATAATTTTAAAATGGAAGAATTTAATTTTCACAACAAAGGTTTAAGTTCTGTAAAATAGTGTTCTATTTTTTCTCATAGAGCCATAGAATATTATGCCTGGAAGCAACATTGGAGATAATTTAGTTCTAATACCTTTAATTTACAGATAAGGAAACTGAGGCCCAGAAATTGAATGACTTGCCCAAGTCATGTCAAAACCAGGGCAACCTAATTCTCTTAAGTCTGAAATTCTGTAAAGTGGCTTAATTTAAAATAATGAATACTAGGCCTGTAAAATGAACTGTAAGAGCACACTTCATTTTGATTTCTCAGAGTAATATATATCGTCAAATTGTATACCAGTCCTTTTGCTTTGAAATTAATTTTGAAAATTCCCCAAACTAGACTGTTTCTAGAATTTATGCCATAGTAAAATTAATATTAACAAAATTCTGAAATTCTTGTTTTCCCTTATGTCAACTCAAAAGCCCTTTTTTCCCCATTATTTACACAAATAGAGATCATAAAAACAAGCTATTTCCATACCAATCCTCCAATATCAAACAGCTACATGTAATCAAGGAAGAGAATTATTTATTGATGACAACCTGTATTCCTTCCATTATGTCCCCTTTTCTGCACCCTACCAGCAATGGAAACAACATTCAAGAAGCAAAGTCTACCTATGTCCAAATACAGTCATAGCAAAATCTGCCCCAGACCTGAAACCAAATTAAAGGTTTGGAATGATAAGTCTATCATAATTAAAATGTTACTATAGAAATTTTTCCATCATCATTTACTGTAATACATATCTACATTAAGACAGGCATTCTCATTTAGATATGTTGAATAGTAAACAATTTTCTAATTAACCTGGAAGGCACCACAAAAAAGTGTCCCATGGTAGAGTCACCAAACTTTCTCTTGTGATAATATAGGAAAAGGGATGAAATGAAATATAAATCCATTTCCTTGCTGTGAGCTTCCCCATTTAATTGATGCATGGGCCTCATGCGCTATCTACTGCCCACTTCTTATTTTGATACATGAAGAAATAAAGTAACTAAAAGGTTAAGAATTCATTAACAACATATACTTGACATTATAGTTCAAATTCTAAAACGATACAGTTCTTTATATAATTGTTCACTGATGAAATAACAAGGCAGAGTTCTGTTTAAAAAATATATGACTGATAATCAATTAAACATACTGTCCTGAAGGATTTATAAGCAAGTTTATAAATAAAGTTGCTTTGAAGCACAGAATCAGACCACAGCTTCCAATACTGAAATAAGGAGCTCCTAACTAGAAAACCAGACCTGAACAAATTATTTGCTTTTCATATACCTCAGATAACATCAATTCAAGAAACGTAAATAAATCCAACCACCAAGGACCAGGGAGAAAAAAAAAAACAACAGTAGACAGACTACAGAGAGATTTCTTTCTAAAAATACATAAGAAGACAAGTGTGAAAGCATCAAGCAAACATAAGTGGTGATGGGATAACAGGTCTAAAAAAAATTTAAAATCAAAGATATACACAAACAAAATAATACTGAAGTGAAATATTTTTTTACTATATATAAAGTGAATTTTTAAAAGCAGAAGTAACAATTATGCTATTCGACAAAGTAAAAACAAACATTCAAAACATAAAAAGGGATAAACAAGGAAACTACGTTATGCTGAAGGGAACCATATAGAACAAGCCAATATCAATATTAAATTTATCTGCTTCAAATGGTTTATTATCCAAATTCATAAAAGAAGTATTAATTGAGCAACAAGGAGACATATATAGACAGCAATACAAGACTGACAGAACATCTCAATGTGCCTCTCTCAGTTGTGAATTAATCTCACAGGATGATGAACAAAAGAAAAAATACATAATCGAACAAATTGCTGGAAAAACTACAGCTAAAAGATCTATGATGTCTTCTAGATGGTACTGCTAAAGAATATCCATATCTTTCAGCATCAAATAGTCAACTTTTACAAAAACAGGCCATGTATTATGGAACAGAAATACTGCAAACAAATTTTAAAAGGGTAGAAATACTAAATATATCCTTTATAGGCCATAATGCAATAAAAATAATAATCTCTTCAAGGAGTACAAATAAAAGATACAAACCCAAATGAAAAACAATTAAATCCTAAATAATGAGTGAGTCAAATAACAACAAATCATGAAAACAATGAATAATTATGTGAAAGAATATTACAATGATGGAAAAAAACCCAAAACTTCTGGGATGCAATTAAAGTAGTCTTTGTGGGAGGGAGGGGAATCATATCCCTACAAACATAAATTAACAAAATAGAAAAGGAAATGATTAATTAATTGAACATGCATTTTAAAAACTGGAAAGCCAATAAATGAGCAAACTTAAAATAAGCCCAAAAGATATGTTTAAAATCAGATAAATAGATGATCTGAAAACAAAAAACTCACAAAAAATACAAAATTAAAAGCTGGTTCTTTGAAATGACTAATAAAATTGATAAACCTTTAGTCAATCTGATTTGAAAAAAGCAGTCAGAAAATCAAATCAACAAAATAGCAAATAAGCAGGGTAAAATCACAACAAAACTAGAAGAAATAAAAAAGGATCAACAGAATTTATCACAGTTAACATGTTAACAAAACTGAGATAACAAAAGAAACAGAAATATAAAGTAACTAAAAGAACACACAAAATAAAAGATCTTAAATAATACAAATCCAGAAAAGGCACTACCAAAGAGGGAAAAAAAACCACCTGGTTGTGGATTCATGAAATACTTTTATCAAATTTAAAGAACAATTAATACCCACATTATGCAAATTATTCTCAAAAACTGAAAAAGAAAGCACCCTACCAGAAACTTTTCATAAGACAAAAGCAGTCCTAACACCTAAACCAGAGGATAAACTACAGAACTATAGACCAATATCATTAATGAATAATGACTCACAAATTTTAAATAAAAATTAGTCAAATATAGTAATTTATTCAAGAAATTATTCCTCATAATAAAGTTGGATTTATACAAGGTATGTAAGGATATGGTTCAACATTAGTAAAATAATCAACATAACTATTCATATTAATGACCAAAACATTCAAAATCACAGAATTATCTCAATAGATGCAGAAAAAGCTTTTGACAAAGTGCAATACTCAGCTATACTAATAAATAAATGGATGGAAAAATAAATAAAAACTTATAAAATATAGGCAGAAAGGGACTTTTTTTTAACATCAGAAAAAGTATATTTAAAACCAAAAGTAAGTATCACATAAAACGGGAATACACTAGAAGCTTTCCTGATACATACAGGAGTAAATGAAAGATGCCCACTCTCCCCACTATTATTTGCTAGTAATACAAAAAGGCAAGAGAAAAAAATTGATGTAAAGACAGGTAAAGAAAAGACAAAACTATTACTATTTGATGATGACATGATGGTTTTTAATTAGTAAATCCTAGGGAATCAAGAAAGATACTAATTCAGACAGTAGATTCAGCAAAGCTGCAGGCTATGAAATAAACCTCCAAAAATCAACTTCATTACTATAAAATAATAACAAAATCAAAGATACAATAATAAAAAGGGAAATCTCTTTCTAAATAATCACAACACGAAAAAAGATCTGGATATCTATCTACTAAAGCACACAAAATACTCGTACAGATTCAATTCCAAAGAGCCACTTAAAGCAATGCCAATTGTTCCTTAAAGTAATACAGAACAACTTAAATAGCTCACGGTGTTGTACTGTGCCCAGATAATAAAAATATACCAAAGATAATTCATATTTTAATGATATGCCAATCAAATTATCAAAGGGGTACTTATAGAATTTAATAAATGATGAACAAAATTCATTTGGAAAAATTAAAGACCTAGAATATCGAGGGAAACGATGAAAAGAAGTAGGGATGAAGGAGGGATAGCACTTTCAGACCCTAACCTAAACTAGAGAGTAAAGCAGCAGTTATCAAAACCATCTAGTATTGGCTTTAAAAAACAGGCAGATCAATGGAACAAACTAAACATAGGAGAATCAGAAACAATGGAAGTTAATAACCTAATATTTGACAAACTGGAAAACATAAAAATTACTTAGGAAGAACTCCTTATTTGATTAAAAAAAATACAACCTACTGTGAAACTAGAAAGTAATCTGGCAGGAATTACACTTTAACCAAAATCTTACCCCATATTTCACAAAACATTTTAAATGGTTATGTTAGTATTAAAGATCAGACTATAAAAAAAGCTAGAAGAGAGGTAGATAATATATCTCCTAAGCTATGGACTGGAGATGTATTCTTAATCAAAGAATAGAGGCAATTACAAAAGATAAAACAGGCAACTTAGATCACATGAAACTTCAAAACTTCTCCACAAACAAAATCAATGCACCTAGGACAAGAAAGGAAGTGGTCAAATGGGGGGGGGGGAATCTTTGTATCAAATTTCTCTTACAAAGGTTTGGTATCTAAGATATATAAACAACTAACAGATAAGTATATAACCAACAGATAAGCAAAGAACATGAATAAACAATTCTCAAGAGAATTGCAAACTAGTAAAAACCATATGAAAGAATGCTTCAAAACACTAACAGAAATGCAAATCAAAACAACCTTAAGGTTCCACCTCATACCCAGCAAATTGTCAAAGATGACAAAGTTGAGAATAATCAGTGTTGGACAAGTTATAGAAAGACAGACACACTAGTGCATTGTTAGTGG